TAGATAGATAGATAGATAGATAGATAGATAGATAGATAGATAGATAGATAGATAGGTAGTGATGGATCATATTAGCTTTATGCATGTAAGATAGCGTTTATTACAACTTTACTCTTTTGTGTCCAAGTGTATGAATAACCAAGCACAACAATATTTTGAAAACTTAATAAAGGAGTCATATTATATACAATCAAGCATTTGAGAAGTGTGGATGAGAGTTCTTTCTGCAAAGTGAAATAGTTGGGTGGGAGACTATTTCTAGGCTCCAGATATTTGGAATGTCCTTTTAAAAAGGTATTATATTATTATAATCATAATCAGAGAGAGAGAGAGAGAGAGAGAGAGAGAGAGAGAGAGAGAGAGAGAGAGAGAGAGAGACAGAGAGACAGAGAGACAGACAGAAAGAGAGAGAGGGACAAAGAGATAGAGATATTATGAGAAAGAACGAGATAGAAAGAAAGAACGAGGGCGGGAGAGAGATGGTGAGGGAAGGAGTGAGAGAAAGAAAGAGAGAGAGAGAGAGAGAACAATAATAACAACATCAACCGAAAAAAAGATTTTCATTACGCAAGTAAACATAACTTTAACTTTATATTAAGTAGACAAAAATAAAGAAAAATAAGATGAAGGTAAAATAAGACAGACAAATAGAGCAGCAAAATTTCCCAGACACTCATTCCTAGTTCCTAGCCGAGCCAGACACACCAGCATCTGACTGTTGTTTTTACCTCGGTGTGTCGTGTTTACATAGTTCAAGCCGATGACTGACTTGGGGGAAAATTTGGACCTAGGATAAACAGAAAGGGGGCAGAAAATTTGCACTCGCACCGGTTAAAGGGACAGACATCCAGACACACACCGCATCGGTGTTCTGTTTTCTTTAGTTTACACTTACGTAGCGATAATGATATAATATCTATTATTATCAGGCTTAACAAAACAGTCGCTTTGCTAGCCTACTTTTGAAGGTTTTGATCTACAGAGGAGCTGACAATGGGACAAAAATGTTGCAATTCCCCCCTCCCCCACCCCACCCTATAATTTTTTACCGAAGCCAGTAAAAATATATGATGCACGCACACGCGCGCGCGCGCGCGAGTGCAAACACACACACACACACACACACACACACACACACACACACACACACACACATACACACACACACACACACACATACACACACACACACACACACAACTAATATTTTTCTCTTTCTTTGTTAAACACTTGTAGTATTTAATACATACTAATGTATAATACGATGCATACATACAAACATCCTTGTAGGCACAAAAAGAAAGACAGACAAACAGAAATGAATGGAATGGCAGAAAAGAAGTAGTAAAAGCAGTACCTACCAGTCACACTTTTCAACCTTTCACATTCAAGTAATTGATGCATTTTCATTCATTCATGCAAATAGCAAATTACGCCTTACTACTGGGACTGGCCGAACATTTAGTTGACCCCACGAACAAAATAGAAAGGAAGTACTAGTAGTTTGCTGAAGAGAGGAACGTATTTCATGTAAGCTATTACAGTAGTGTTTTATAACGCTAAAACAGCCATAAACAGAGAAGTGACAGCATAATAATAATATTATATTCCAAACGAATGTTCTTAGCTGATTTTGGTAGTCGAAAGAACCAGGAGTGAACGAATGAACAAGTATATGTTTATGAATGAATGAATGAATGAATGAATGAATGAAAGAAGGAATGAATGAATGAATGAATGAATGAATGAATGAATGAATGAATGAATGAATGAATGAATGCATGAATGAATTAATGAATGAATGAATAAATGAATGAATGAATGGGAAAATCTAAATGTGTTTTTTATACTCGTACATGTACCATTTTCTGAATCAGGATAGCTAATTGTTGGTAACCAAATCATAGTGACAAATCGACATACACACAAACATGTAGACTGGGCTTCTTGAGATATTGTTTCAGTAGGAATTTTACATCACATGCTGCACAATTAGATCATATAAGTGCAGAAGATTAGAGGTGTTACAATAGAGTAATAAACTCAAAAAAGGAGGAGAGATGCGGTCGACCGTCCACTTCCATTCCAAAGATAGAAAGTTAAGACAGATATATAAGCCTTGCACAGCTGCTAAATAAGGGAATAGACTGCGTCTTTTGGACTTTTCTCCTGTATCTTTGTCGTTTTAAAAAATTTTTTTAAAGAGTGAAAGCGAGAGAGAGAGAGAGAGAGAGAGAGA